CCCCAAAACCCCAAAACCCCAAAACCCCAAAACCCCTTACTAAAATAAATATACTGAATATTCATTTATTAGAAAACTTATAGATTTAATGGGTTCTTAGTGCTGTTCTTTGATTCCTTCTTTATTATCTTTTTCTTTGGTCGCTTTATCTATGAGCTTTTCAGTGTCTTGCTTTTCATATTTTGGAGTGTTTCTAATTTTTGTTTGGTTTCGTGCTCTGATTATTGCATCGATAGCTTCTTTGACTAATTTTGGCTAAATCTTTGTTCCAGTAGAAACCTCTCTCTTGGAACTTCTTTCATGTGGGCTTCTTTCCGATGAATTTGCGGAAATTCATTATTCCTTGAGGCTTTTCTGTGTATATCTTCCTCTTAGCAATTTCAAAGATTACTCCCACAAGAGTTAAATGAGGTTAGTATGTAGAAAGATTTAACAATTCGGATTTTCATTAATGTTATCATTCTTCTACTTCTTTTGGTTAAATGAAGAGAAGAGTTATTGACTATCATTCTAACAGGTTCCTCATCACCTACTGTCAGCACTCTTCAGTATTTAGGTAGAGTCACAAGGAAGCATCAAACAGTGTTGGAATTTTTGGTTCTATCTATTACTATTCTAACCCAGTGACCATTGAAAGCCAAGACTAACAGATGCCCTTCCTCCTCGAGTGTGGTTGATGATAGGATAGGGCTTTCTTTGTGGGATCCAGGAGTAATGAATCTTTACAAACTTATAGAAGGAGCATTAGTCAGCATTCACTACTCAGTACCCATTTCTCAAAGACTCCGGCCATTTTGATCAAAAGAGGCTCTGCAAAAGGCTAGATCTGGGATTCTTGTTTATGAATGATCTATTTTCTCTTTTTTTTAGGTTATACTTAGATTTTCTTCACAAAGTCCTTTACCTTATTGTATGCGGGATTAGAGCCTTAACCATCTTTAACAAATTTCTAAATTACTTCAATTGCCATTGGAAACGTTAGAGGCCCAGCAAAGGTACTGATCATAATCTGTTCTTCAATTATCAAGCATTGGGGCTCATTGCTGCTCTCAAAATAGTCCGGTTTCTTCTTCTTTTCTAACTCTTTTATTTCTTTTGATAGCCTAATAAATGTTGAAGGAGCAATCGTCAGAACTTGATCCAAAATATTTTTGAAGAGTTTCTGAATGCTACTTTCTTCAACATAATTTTTGAGTCCTTCACTCAAGAGATTGGATTCAGAAATGAGTTCTTCTTTACTGACATTTTTGGCCTTATCTTTCAGAATATAGTGATCGAGATTTCTTCCTTCTTGTCCTGAGCATCTTCGTTTTGCTCCATAAAACTTCCAAGTCTGACTATAAATCTGTCTTCTCAAACTGATCATAGAAACCACAAAACTTCGAACTCCAAAATATTTTTCTTTTAAGTTCTTTCTGAGGGAAAGAGATCTAGCAAGTTCTTATTCAAGGCTCAGTCTCTTTATGAGGATTACCGATTTATCAGAAAGTAGGGGTAGGTTCATTCTCTTTCTTATTTCCTTCGATCCAAAAATATTACCATCAGATGCTGATCGTCTGATCTATAATTCTCCAAAGAAAATTTAATCTGTAGTGTTAAATTTCACCTGGTGAAATCTTCCTTCAGAAATTGGTTCACAAGCTGGCATTTTTGGGTTTCAATGATCTCTGATAGCTTGTACAATATATAAAAGGAAATTGAAGTTTGTAAAATTTAGCTCTCCTGCTTTGGAAGTTATCAAAATAATACAGATGGAATTTGAAGACCGTTAACTCAAATTAGAGAGAACAAAGGCACAGTTGAATTCTGAGATTTACAAACTACTAACTGTGAAGGGAGGATTATATCTTCCTCCTCAAAAGAAGGCATCCATGAAATTCATCAGTGATATCTGATTTTGTGAACGAGAGGTTCTTCATTCTTGGTTGAGGGTTCTTTTGAGTAGTAAAATAGGCTCTGTAAGCATCAAATCTGATTTTTTTGTAGTGTATCCCACATTGCAAGCTTAATATCAGATGATTAGATGAAGTTTATCATTGAGAAGTGTGATGGTGAACGTTATCTGCCTTTCAATTGGCAGAAGCAAGTATCGGACAATATTTTCTCGGAAATCTATATATTCTCTTTGTTTTAACTAATTTTAATAGGCAACTCATTAGATCCAGATGGGTTTCAAGAAAAATAAAGAAGATCTTGAATGCAAGAAAAGAAACACTTTTGAAGGAAAGAAATCTCAGCATAAATATTTCGTTTAACATTGCAGGAGTCTTAAAGTCTTCTTGGATGGTAGCAAGTATGGCGATAGAAATCATTCATATGTTTAGTGAGAAAGGGCAAAAACTATAAGTTGCTCAAAAAGAACCTTCGGAGAAAAGAGAGAAATTCAGAGCTAAACTAGGAGGAGCTTGAGCAGGCTGCGAAGAATTTGAAATTCTTAAAATTGAGATAAAATTTTTTACCAACATCATTGAGGAAAAGAAGAAGCACATTGATGATCTAACTGGTGACAACTAATTCTTCAAAACCCTTTACTCATAAGGAATCATTGATGCTGATGGAAACCCCACTCAAATGGATTCTAAATAACTACTTTGCTGTATTTTCAAGCTCCTCTGCCATGCCACCTGAACCTGAATTCTTTTATCAGTTTGTCTATCGCCTAAGTTTATGATAATCCTTCAGATTGACCTTCGCTTCTACATTTGTTGGTTCTTCTTGTATCTTCTTTACCTTAGCTGGGTTTAATAACTGGCTTCTTATTCATTTTCTTGTCTTTGCAATCTCTCTTTGATTTGTTTGAATTTGACTTTTTCTTCTGTTTTATGATTTGTTATCTCTTTTCTTACTTCCTATTGATTTATCCAATTCACATAGATCTGACTGAGAATTTGAAAGAACCGGAATTTCAGTTAAAGAAGTGATTCGTCTCTTAGAAGAAATTTACAGGAGTTTAAAATGGTAGTTTTGATGGTTAAATATCTTTCTTCTACACATGCCATATTTCCCCAAACCAAGTGGAAGGCCATGAACTTCCTTTCTTAAGAAACTCTATCAAGGTCTCTCAGGGTCTATTTGGTGGGGTTCGCAATTTAATCACTAAAATTGGGTACTTTAGTCTCTCTGGCTCTTCCTTTTCTTACCTTAACTTTGGCTAGTCTGACTGTTTTCATCAAAAAGGCAAAGCTCATTCTCTTCTTCAATATCAATTAAAACAGTCTAAACTAAATAGAAGGATCTGTTGAATGTCTGCAGTAAAATGATAAAAATTAGAATGCCATATTTTTGTCGGAATGTTATTATTTACATATATTTGCCCGAATTCTGAATTATAAATTTCAATTAGCCCTAATTGAGTAGGGGTTTTGGGGTTTTGGGGTTTTGGGGTTTTGGGG